CCAGAAGTCTGTTTTTGAGACTTGTATACATGTCTTCTCATTTCCACCGGGGAGGGGTGCTTCTGGTGCCCATGCGGTTCACCCTATCTGCCCTAGGAGCTTGGAATGGTGGCTGGGGAGCTTCCTTGTGGGTGCTGGGACATGCTCAGCTTCCCTGCCCTAGGAGCTTGGGATGGTGGCAAGGGAGCTTCCTTCTGGGTGCTGGGACTGGCTCAGCTTCTCTGCCCTAGGAGCTTGGAATGGCTCTGGGGGAGCTTCCTTCCAGGTGCTGGGACCAGCTCAGCTTCTCTGTCCTATGAGTTTGGGATGGTGGTGGGGGAGCTTCCTTCTGAGTTCTGGGACTGGCTCACCTTCTCTGCCCTAGGAGCTTGGGAGGGCGGCATGGGAGCTTCCTTCCAGGTGCTGGGACTGGCTCAACTTCTCTTCCATAGGAGCTTGGGATGGCAGTGGGGGAGCTTCCTTCCAGGTGCTGGGACCAGCTCACCTTTTCTGCCCTAGGATCTTGGGATGGCAGCGAGGGAACTTCATTCCAGGTTCTGGGACTGGCTCACCTTCTCTGCCCTCGGAGCTTGGGATGGCGGTGGGGGAGCTTCCTTCTGGGTGGTGGGACCAGCTCAGCTTCCCTGCCCTGGGAGCTTGGGATGGTGGTGAGGGAGCTTCATTCCGGGTTCGGGGACCGGCTCACCTTCTCTGCCCTAGGAGCTTGGAATGGTGGTGGGGGAGCTTCCTTCCAGGTGCTGGGACCAGCTCACCTTTTCTGCCCTAGGAGCTTGGGATGGCCTAAAAGGTCATTTTCAAAGAGCCTGAAGCTTTTCAAGTGTGCGTCAAATTTTCTCAATTTTGTGTTTGAACTTTTTTGCTTATTTGCAAGGATTTTTTCTTTGTATTTTATGTTTAGGGTTTTTTTTCACTTTCTTCCTTCCATCCTTCCTTTCTTTTTTTCATCTTTGCTTGAAAATTATTTTATTTGATATAATTATACCTTAGTTTGTCAACAAAATACAAATTCCCAAAAAGGTGACTTTCCCTGCCTCTTCTGTTTACATTTCATCACCAACAAGAAGAAACACAAAGTCACTTCCTTTGAGCAGCCTGGTAGATAGCATCCAATAAGATCCCTTTGAGAAGGATATGGGTCTATCTAAATCCCAAGAGGCCAGCCAATCATTTGGCATTATATTTGGACCTAGTTAGTGGCAATATTTTTTTTCTTTAACCTCTCTAGGGTTTAACCCATGCAAAGGTGATTAAGGCTGGGAAGGCAGAGGGTAGAACAGAAGGGACTTTGAAGATGCCTTGAGATCCTTCCTCTGTGGGCTTATCCTCTAAGACTCTCAGGACAATTATTCTTCCCACAGGACACCTTTCCTAGAGGAATAGAGGGGGAAACTTGGTGGTTAACTGAAGTTCGATGAATATCTTTAGCTAGAAATCACAAGCTCCACTCCCTACACCCTCCAGTTCTCTTCTTCAGTAGTCGCATGCAAGATTCATAGATTAAAGGCTGGTAAATAGCAGTTAAAATTTAATCTTGTGGCTCTTCTTGATACCTGAGAAGTGGTTAGGATCTCAGGAGTTTATTTTTTGGGTTCTGTAAAAAGAACCTCAGGACACACTCACTCACTAAACAATTGATCATAAATTCAGGCAAAGTTAGTAATGAAGATGAAATGTATATTTTTCTCTTCATCAATAGATTGGCTTGTATATGGATATAGAAGAGGAAAAAATCAGGAGGCAGGGTTTAGCATCGTTGAAAAAAAGAGAAAAAGGATAAAAACAGGTAGAATAAGAAAGAGAAAATGGGACGATTGCATATATTTTCTAAAGATGAAATCTCTCCAGAGTCACTTGTTCAGTGCCTTCTATTGGCTATATAAGAAATGTTTGGATAATGAATGCTCTCTGGAGCAATAAGAAGGTACCTGAAGTTGAAAAGAAGGATGGAGTAAAAAAAAGATCATCAAAGGGGGAAAGATGTAAGAAACTGGGATCAGAGTAAACAAAACCACTTATTCATGTCTTTATGAATACAGTTACCTTCCTGCTTTGGCCTTGAAGTATTGTAGGCTGCTCATGGACTGGCACATGGTTGCTTGGTAAATCATCACTTCATCTCCAAATACAGTCTGGGGTAGGTGAATTGTATTCCATTGCTGGGTCTCAGAATACAAGCTACTTTTATGAAGATAAGCCTCTTCCATGAATTTTCTATTGAGTTTTCTTCCCTGGCAAATAGTATCTATCAGTTTCTCATCTACCTGAATGATAATTCTAGCAGTAGAAGAAACTCTACATTTTCCTCTACATTCATGTGACCCCTACATTGCTCCTCCTGGTTTGGTCCCTTGATTTTTGCTAATTTTTTTCACTCAATTCCCCACCTTCATCGAAAGCATCAACACTTAGAATCCAGCAAAGAAACTGTTATGAATCATTTAATCCTGGGCATATAGAAAAATTAATTCCTCTGGTTCCTCTCTGAATAAATTTGTATTTTGTCTTTAACCGTAGTGGAAGGAGAGACATTTATAGAGCACTATGCAAGCAATGGTACTTGGGACTGTGCATATATCACATCATTTCAACTTTACAATGGGCTTATGGAGTATAATTATATGTTGCCTAAACTTTCTCATCTTTGACAAATTGAAAAGGGTAAGAAATCTGCTTTGCAACAAAAAAGCCATAGTAACTATGATTGAGTCAAGCTTATCTTATTCCCAAACTTGTGGCTTTTTTCCAGTCTCACATTGTCTCCAATGGGATGGAGGAAAAGGAATGAGGTGGGTGCAGAATGTTCACTCTTTGGGTACTGGAAAAAGGAGTGTGAGCCTAATACTTTTAATGTTGTGTACCAACCAGACTCAACATGTATGTTAGGGTGAGGATGACTTTTAGGAATTATAATGAAGTCTGTGTAGTTACATTTGAAAAGCCAGAAATTTTGAAATCTGCCATTGGTTTGTTATTCTGCTGAGTGTTTTCTCTTGGCTAGAAGGCCATTGGATGAGGAAAACGTTCTCTAATTCTCCACTTTTCTTATTAAAAAAAGGATAATCTCAAGATTTTTTTAGGACAGGTAGTAGTACACTCTCCTTCAAGTGTTTGTACAGAGATAGTAACCTCATCTTCCTACTTATTAGATAAAAAAATAACTTTGTTGAGTGATTGCATAGTTTTGTTGTATGCAGAGCAATTTTGTAGGAGGACACTTGAATTTTGCTGCATACTGGCACCCAGGTAAGCAGAAATTTCGTATAATCATGAAGTCATTCTAATATTGATGCATCAGTTTTCTTTTATTGCTTTAGCAAATTACCATAAATTTATCAACTTAAAAATATCCCAAAAGTATATCATCTTACAGCTCTGGAATTCAGAAATCTTAAGTGAGTCTCAATGTGTTAAATCAAAATGTCATCTTTCTGAAAGTTCTAGAGCAGAATGTTTCCCTACCTTTCCCAGCTTCTAGAAGCCATTTACATGCCTTGGCTCATGGCCCTTTCTGCATTTCCTAAGCCATCAACACAGTATCTTCAAATCTCTTTGTAACTATAGCTCCTCAGCATCCCCTTCCACAATAAGGACTTATGATTACTTACAGCCAACCAAGATAACACAGAATAATCTCCTTATTTGAAAGCCAACTGGATTAGCAAGCTTGGTTCTATCTGTAGCCTGAATTTCTCCTAGTCATGTACAATAACATGATCAGAGGTTCTAGAGACTAAGATGTGGACATCTTTGGGGATCATTATTCTTATAATAGCTGACTAATGGGTATTGTGTTTTGTTTGGGGGATTTTTTGCTGTAGCAATTATTCTCTATTTTTCATTTCCATTTCAATGTATTAGAAACATCTTGTCAGTAGGAAAAAAATCAAATAACTCATGATACAGCTACAATTGTGTTTTAAAATAACAAGAGCACTCAAAAGGAAAAGGAAAACTTGGGATACAGCTAAAATCTCACTTCTTTTGGCATCTTTTGATAACAGCCTTCTCAATTTGTATGGGATGAATTTTATTACACAGGCTAAGGAGGAAAGGAGAGCTCGATTAGGAAAGACTTAGAAAAACACATACTTTGAAACACTGGATATAATTTAGTATATTTAATTCTCACTAAACCTGTTCTATGTTAACAATAGACAATAAAGTATAAATAATAAAATATTTTCTAGGAAACAGTCTTGTTTTTTCTTTCTCAACATGAGAAGACCACAGGAAACCTATCACTGATGAAGGAAGGAGTCTAAATGACATCAAATGAAAATGTGTCTTTTAGGGAGGTTGGAACAGAAAAGTCAGCAAGGGTAAGAATGGAGGTGGTAGAGGAAATAGATTGGAAATGTAGAGAAACAAAGGCTTAGTGATCTTTAAATCATATTAGGGTTGTTACATTCTTAAAATCAGTCAGAATCCTTTAAAAATTTTTAAGCAGGACAGATCATAGGTTGTAAAAAAATCTCTCACTGCAATAAAGAGAATGCATTGATACAATCCAGAATTTTTAGGGTCCTACTGTTTAATTGAAACAAAAAATATGTGCATAGTTGTGACTGTTTGGGAGAAAAATACTATACTTTGCATCTTTTTATTTGAAAAAGTTATCTCTCGTCTGAACTTTAACAATGGATGTTGAAGTCAAATCCTCTACTGGTTGCTATGGAAGATTTGGAATACTCACCATAGGGACTTCTTGGGGCAATAATTTAGCTGAAACACATTTTCCCAAGGTCTAGTCCTCAATGTCACAGCAATTCTACTTGGTGCAATAATTCTATTTTGTTGGCAAACCAGAAAGTTCTGGCTTCCATTGACAGTTGCCATCAATAGTTTTCTAGTTCTCTTACATACCAACATATAAGAAAAATATGAAAAACAGGTTAAATTTTCCATTTTCTTGAAATAGGACATTTGACCTTTTAAAATATGATTCATAAAAATTATTTCCATCCCTAATATTCTCAACCCTTCTCATTCTCATCAGCAAGAAGAGCAGTATGAGGCCTGAGAACCAGAGCAATGTGTCCAAGTTCCTCCTCCTGGGGCTTCACTTCCAGCCAGACCAGCAGGCTGTGTTCTTCACTCTGTTCTTGGCCATGTACCTGACCACGGTGCTGGGGAACCTGCTCATCATCCTACTTATCAAGCTGGACTCCCACCTCCACACCCCCATGTACTTCTTCCTCAGCCACTTGGCATTCATTGACGTCACTTTCTCATCTGTCACTGTCCCAAAGATGTTGATGGACATACAGACTAATCTGAAGTCCATTCCTTTTGCAGGCTGCATTTCCCAGATGTATTTTTTCATATTTTTTACTGACTTAGATAGCTTCCTTATTACATCAATGGCATATGACCGATATGTTGCCATATGCCGCCCTCTCCACTACACCACCATCATGAAGGAAGAACTCTGCATCTTATTAGTGGCTATATCCTGGATCCTGTCCTGTGCTAGCTCCCTCTCTCACACCCTATGCCTAACCCGGCTGTCCTTTTGTGCTGCTAACACCATTCCCCACTTCTTTTGTGACCTTGCTGCCCTGCTCAAGCTTTCCTGCTCAGACATCTTTCTCAATGAGTTGATCATGTTTACAGTAGGAGTGGTGGTGATTACTCTGCCATTTATATGTATTCTGGTATCTTATGGCTACATTGGGTCCACTCTCCTCAGGGTCCCTTCAACCAAGGGGGTCTGCAAAGCATTGTCCACATGTGGCTCCCATCTCTCTGTGGTTTCTCTGTACTATGGGGCAATATTTGGGCAGTACCTTTTCCCAACATTAAGTAACTCCATCAACAAGGACATCATCGTAGCTATCATGTACACAGTGGTCACACCCATGTTGAACCCCTTTATCTACAGTCTTAGGAACAGGGATATGAAAGAGGCCCTTGGAAAACTCTTCAGTAGAGCAACTTTTTTCTCACAGTAACAATAGCAGCAAAGTCACTGTATTCTTGTTTAAATCAGAATTTTATTTTGGTTAATCTCATGTATTCAATTTTCCATTTGAATACGTTTCAAAACCTCTATATCTCCAAAATAAATGATGGTGTGTTAGATCTTCCTGGTAAATATTTGTCAAACAGAATTTCGCTACCTTATTATCAATTCTCTCATTCATACATAGATTTTTAATTTTTTTATTTTTAATTAACAAAAATTGTAGTACAGTGTGATATTCTACATATATACAATGTATTGATCAAATTAGAATAATTAGCATATCCATCTCTCTCATGTCTTTGGAACATTCTAGATCATCTCTTCTAGTTCTTCATAAAACATATTGCTACTGTGAACTATAATCACACTACTGCTACAGAACACTATAATTAATTCCTCACATTTGACTGTGCTTTGAGTATCTATTTTCCAAATTCTCTTTAATTTTTCTTTACCTTCCCCTTCCTGGCCTAGTAATTACTGTTGTATTTTTAAATTGACCTTTTTTTTAAAAAAAAAATAGCTTTTGATCAGAAAATACTAAATTTTATTACTTACTTCTTCAAACATATAGTTCGTGGATAGGATTTAAAGCTAAATACTTTAAAATTCAAAATTGTGGGAAGCACATTTGTAACACCTTACATGAATTCTAGTAGCAGATAGAATAACACATGAGACAACATAAGTTCTTTTAATATTAGAGAAATCAGTGATTTGTATTGATAATTTCAGATTAATTCTGGTCTCAGTAAATTTCTTTTTCTAAGCTTTTTTCAAGATAGTATTTCAATAATAAGTATAATATTCTTCCCTGAAATACCAGATTTTCTTTTCTATTCCATATAGAAGATAGACATATCAAATATTACATAGCGTATTTTACATAGCACCACTGAGCTACATCCTTGGCCTTCCACTAGGCTCTGAGGAACTTCACTGTGACTCAAAACTTGACTAATGTCAATCAATACTCTGCTTTTCCTTGAAGCATTGGGATATGTTCACAGGTGCTAAAATAACTCTAAAAACAGATCCAAATGTCTGAACTAACAATTATGCGTAACACAATAAAATGTACATTAATTATCTAGATAATTTCAGAAAAACTGCATTTCCACGAAGGTGCTCTTGAATTCTTGTCAGGATATTAACCCATTTTCGACCATTCATTTGTAAAAGACCTCACTGAACTTGCCTTGTTTTATCAACACAGCCCATAAAATAGCATTTGTATTAAATTCTATCGATATTTTTATCAGTTGTATAACATTTTCTCTCTTTGTATCTCCTTAATTTTTGCATCTGCCTTATGAAAAATACAATATGTTCACCCAATTTTATACATAAATATAAAAATAATTGTTATGTTACCATGTCATAGAGTTCATTTGAGGTGCAAAGAGGATCTTTTTTGGTGCTATGAAGTGGATTGAATCCCAAGCCTTGCACATGCTAAGCACATGCTCTACCACTGAGCTACACTCACAAGTCCAAGATGTGATGCTGGAAATCAAAACATTTTGAAAGTTTGAGGTTTGATATTTAATATATGTGTAGAATGCAATAATAACAACATTCCTCATCTAATTTTATAATACAATTTTTGAGCTATGGATGATTGAAAACAATCTAGCAGGGCTGTCTTCTCTTTCCACAGATTTCAAATCAGACTTCTCTCATTCATCTATTTTCATAATTGAATTTTTCTCTTTTTGAATAAACACCACAGGTATGGAGAATCCAATACAAAGCAACCCATTAAAACTGATACTTTTATGTTTTTAGAAAGATTGAAGTAGCCTTAATGAGACAATTAAGAGATGATTTCAAGATCTCATATACTCTTTAATAAAATTTCATGGGCGATCTGTGTTAATCAAAAAGGTGTTAACTAAAACAAATATTTTAACTGTACTTTAAGTCTAAATGCATATCTGTATTAATAAAAATATTTTTAAATAGTGGGAAAATGCGATATTTTGACTTTCTTTGTTTTCATTTCAATATTATCGGGATTCCCGTCATGAAGAGGAATTAATTTTATAAACGGCAAACCAAAACTATATTTCCATTTAGGATAAAAGCCTCTCTGTACATCTGAAACTATGAGCGTACCAGGAGAAAACTGAGTCTGGCAGGGGACATCTTTGCCCACCTTCCTTGGGGCTCACATTCTTATGGTATGCATCCTGACACTGTTCCTAAGGCCAGTGTTTGCTCAAAGTCTGCCCTTAGAAAAATTTATATGAGAGTTGCTTGGCCCCAGATCTCATGAATGAGCAGCTCTGGAGGTAGAGCTAGGATCTGCTTCCAAACAAGCTCCCCAGGGGATTCTTCTGAACAGCAAAGTTTAGGGACCCCTACCCAAGGGCATCCATCCTGGAGGTAATAAGAGAAAAACTGAGAAATTAATACACGTTTAATGCATGTCTTTAACTGAGAACCTGGTGTCCTGTCCCATTGGGTCTTCTCCCTGGAGAATGGAATGGAGTTTCATATCTCCACTTTTGAAGCTGGTGAATTGAGAAGAATAAAGCCCAGCTCGTGAGTTTCCAGCTCATGAATGAGTTTCCTCGGTAAATGGGTTAAGACCACAGAAGTAGTATGATAAATCCAGTCACGAGGTCTCCTAGAGAGAAGCTGAGAAACAAGTACATATTCCTGGGAACTGGATAACCTGAGAATAAAGTTCAGAGCAGGATTAAGTATCCTTCCTCAATAGCAGGTGTGTGTGTGTGTGTGTGTGTGTGTCCATCCGTGCATGTGTGTACATGCACACAATTATGCTCTTACTGAAATAATTTCTAAAGACAGGAATATAGCAATCACCACTGGCCAGTGATCCTCATGCCTTTAACTCCCAGCCTTAAGGAGATGAGGAACAGAGCCAGATAGCTATGTAAATTAGCAGGCAAGTCTCCAAATCCAGGTTGGGCATCCTATCTCATCATTCACATTTTAGGAATCAGAATGTATGCTTGTTTGCTATATGGAGTGTTCACAAGTCCTCTCTAATTTTTCCAAAGTCACTGATCATTCCCTCTCTTTTAAACAGCACTGCTATTTCAACCTGGAAGCTATGTTTGAAGGACAATTGTAACTAGAAAGCTTTGATTATTTTCTTAGTGCAACATTCATATTTCAAGTTCTTATTAGAATCTACTTGAAGGCTTCCTATCAGTTCCAAGTGTAGCTGCAAACCTTCATTGAAGGCATGGAAACTTACTCCTAGGAAAGATCTACTACCACAATATGTTGTATACTTCAAAATCACTAGAAGGGAGGATTTTTAATATCTCAACATAATTATTCTTTCCTGGGTGTCATTGAAGATAAGACCCCAAGTTTCTTCCCCAGAGACCTTTGTACTTTATTTTTAATGGAAATTATGTTACCTCATATAGGATACATCCTATGAGCTAGTTATTTTATATGTATTATCTCACTTAAATTCTGACAGTAAAATTCAGGAACTATTATCCAAATCTTGCATAGGAAAAGCTGAGGCTACAAGTGGTGTATTTTTTCTGCCAAAGACATACAACTGGCAAATGGAAGAAAGGTGATTTGAATTCTTTTTGTTTGACTCCAAAATGTGTCCTTTGTCTTCTAAGGCACATCATCTCACTGTCGAGAAAACATCAGTTACTAGCTGGAAGTGGTTGAGGTGTTATTTAGGAGAAGGCTGGATGTGGTGGAATGAATCTTTATATGGTCTTTACATAGAGCTTATGAGGTAGAAAAAAGGAGATATGGCCAAATTGAACAGAGGGAATTTTGTTATTATCCCAAATTCCATCAACCAAGTAAGTTTACAACTTACAGAGGGAGTCTTCTTATTGTAGCATGAGGGAAGCCAGAAAAAGAGGAGAAAGAGAGGGAAAAATCTTGAACTCCAGGACATCTGAGTAGCTATGGTTCTCTACTAGACAGGATGTGGTTGGATTCTGCCCATGTCCCCAACACTATTGTTGCTGTCTATGGCCTTTGCCTGCATCTGGTCACGATGTGATGATGAGGTAGCTTTGCAGCACCTGAATTCTGTTCAGTGTCGGCGTATTGAAAGGAATAGGCAGTCAGGAAGGTGAAATAAAAGGGTTTTGTGAAGTAGAGGGAAGGAAATCAACATTGATTGGTGCAAATTATCTATAGTTTTTTTATAAATATTATCTTATTAATATTTGGAACATTCTCATGAATAGTCTCATAATCTTATCACCAGTTAAGAGATGAAAAAACTGAGAGACTTGGACTGGGTTGCTTGCCCATAACTTGCAAATACAAAGGACGTTACCAGGATTTGACATTAATTCTAATTGCACTGCTATTAAATAGCACACTTCCCTTACACATGGAGCTCTACCCTTATCACGGCACCAACGAGACCCAAAATGTTTGAGTGAGTAGGGACAGATTGGAAATGTGAGCTAGGCATTCTTAAATTGAGAATGCTCACATCTCTTATGTTTGTTGCTTTTCAGGAAATTTGGAAGAGAAATGTTTACCCATAAGAAATAGGAGTATGCTCAAATTACCCAGATTAAAGAAGCAAAAAAGTTTTTTATTTTATTAAAAAAATAAGCAAAAATTTATAATAAAATAGTAAAATAGTAACAATAGTTAATATATTGTGCATAATTATCTTCAAAGCACTTACTCAAAGCACAAAACATAAACCAAAAAGATTCTTACAAAAAAAAGAAACAGTTAACACAAAACCCTCTTTTTAATGATCTAAGATAAACTAGTACTATGAATGAAACAATTAATATATATATTAAAATATATTTGAAATAACAAACTATGTAGTTTGGGGAAGTATTTGAACTTCTCTCTACTCTCTACCTCTCTTCTATTTTGCTCTTTATTTGTGTATTTATATATATTTTGTTTCTAATATAAGAGAAACCATATAATATTTGAGCTTTTGTATCTAACTTATTTTACTTAACATTATGTTCTAAAGTTGCATCCATTTACCTATAAGCAAAAAATTTTAAGTCTACCATTACCCTGTATAAAACTTTCTAAATTTTTCTCCAATTAAGAACAGCTGTCATGGAATCATAATATCTTGTATTAATTTACTCTATATAGGAACCTGCAGTAGGCAGTATTAATTTTTTATTTAATGAGGATTTTTATTTTATTAAGACATAGATCATTGACTCTTTTTCTTACTTTTCTTTCAAGGTAAAATATTTTAATGGGTAGATGGTGGATATTGGGGAAAGTCACAGATAGATTTTTAAGATACTTTATATTGTTGACCAGGAGACCCTGGATATGTCTGGGGTGATTAACAGATCCTGGGATATTACAGGAATGTTTAACAAGTACTGTAGTTCAAGATGCCAGGATAAGGTGGGCATGGCTGAGCATGCTTGTAATCCTAGCACTTGGAAGGCTGAGGCAGAAGGATCACCATGAGTTTGAGGTCAGCCTGGGCTACATAATGAATTCAGGGCTGGACTGGACTACATGGCAAGACCTTGTCTCAAAAAACAACAACAATGACAACAAAAAAAAGGAAAACAGATGCCAGGATGCCAAATGAGGAAGCTAAAAAAAAAGGGAAGAGAATATCAGGGCCCCTCTCATGGCCTCTCTTGATAAAGACACTTTCTACTGTGGATTTTCATGGTATCATGGGAGTTTATTGAATCATAACAAAATTGGAAAATGATTTAGAAGATCTTGGTAAACATGATTACTGGCAATAAACATATAACTGCCAATAATATTTCCACATTTTATACCAGTTATATTGTAATCAATGAATATGTTTCTTTTCTCATCAACTGGATATATAAGGGAAATTTGGGGTATTTATTTCTGATCCAGTTTTCTTTAGGTGTATGTTATTGAAATATTGAAATGTCTGACCTATCCTTTACTTGTTAATGATTTTTAAAGTAAAGAAACAGAATAGAAATTGGAAAGATTTTAACTTAATATCCCTCTTCTAAAACACTTGGAGGTTCACAGGTGCAGCTACAAATTATAATTTGATCCAGGTTGCCTCTCTCCTAGATAGTGAAAAACTTCAATAGATCCAGATCAAACTCTCTTCTCTATGAGAAAATTCTCTCATTTTATATACCGCCTAGTTTTAAATGACTTCTCATAAAAATACTGTAATGCAGACAGACACTCTAATACAGTATTCACTGGTAAAAAGGATCTCATTTTAATATGTCTGTTATGGATCACAATAGTTTGTTTCTGCTTTCTTCAATGCCCTTCCATTCTCCTCAGAGAGAAGAGGACCATGAGAAAGGAGAACCAGAGCAGCGCGCCCAAGTTCCTCCTCCTGGGGCTCCCCATCCGGCCAGATGAGCAGGCAATATTCTTCACCCTTTTCCTGGTCATGTACCTGACCACGGTACTGGGGAACCTGCTCATCATCCTGCTCATCAGACTGGACTCCCACCTCCACACCCCCATGTACTTCTTCCTCAGCCACTTGGCTTTCACTGATGTCTCCTTTTCATCTGTCACTGTCCCAAAGATGCTGAAGAGTATGCAAACCCAGGATCAATCCATCCCTTATGCAGGGTGTATAACACAGATGTATTTTTTCATATTTTTCACTGACCTGGACAATTTCCTTCTCACAGCAATGGCATATGATCGATATGTGGCCATCTGTCACCCCCTCCATTACACCACCATCATGAGAGAGGAGCGGAGCATTTTACTAGTAGCTTTTTGCTGGATCTTGTCCTGCGCTAGCGCCCTGTCTCACACCCTTCTTCTGGCTCGGCTGTCTTTTTGTGCTGACAACACCATCCCCCATTTCTTCTGTGACCTCGCTGCCCTACTCAAGCTCTCATGCTCAGACACCTCCATCAACGAGTGGGTCATTTTCACAGTGGGAGTGGCAGTTATTACTCTACCGCTCTTATGCATCTTGATCTCTTATGGCCGCATTGGGGCCACCATTTTGAAAGTTCCATCTACCAAAGGGATGTGCAAAGCCTTGTCCACTTGTGGATCCCACCTCTCTGTGGTGTCTCTATATTATGGAACAATTATAGGACTTTATTTTTTCCCCTCATCTAGCACCTCCAAGGACAATGACATAGTTGCTTCTATGATGTACACAGTGGTCACTCCGTTGCTGAACCCCTTCATTTACAGCTTAAGGAACAGAGACATGAAGGGAGCCCTGGAGAAATTCTTCAACAAAGCAAAAATCTCACCTCAATGACATTTTCTCTTCTCTTTAAAAAAACATATTTTTTTCACCTCTCTTCAAACTCTAGAACTCTAACCTTGGGCCCAGCATGGACTAAGTGCTCAGTAAATATTTGATGACTTGAATTGGATTCTATTATGGTTATTATCTTTCTTTTTTTTGCTTAAATTCCTTTATTGGTACAACTTAGGTATACAATACATTTACATTTATCATTGGGTACTTGTACCTGTACAGGATGTATCTTGATTCTTATTTTTTCCCAATTACCCATGCACCCTTCACCCCTCCGCCCTTCCCTATTTACATACTTCATTTCCATTTTTTTTCTTTTCTCATAATTTTTCCTTTCCATTCTTTCCTTTCCCCATCTCTCCCACCACCCCTACCTCTTTGGACCTTTTCCTATTTCAAAGTATCAATTATTAGTTATAAATCCTTTTAGTCCTTATTTACACCCTCAGTTTCTCACACTAGTGAAACTATTCGGTATTTACACATGTGAGTCTTATTTATTTCACTTAAGAGTATGGCCTCAATATGCATCCATTTAGCTATAAATGACTCTAGTTTCAAATTCTTTATGGCTGAGTAGTACTCCATTTTATAAAAAAAAAAAAAACACATCTTCTTTATCCAGTTTCTAGGTGATGGGCACTTGGGTTGTTTCCAAGCTTTGGCTATTACAAACTGTGCTGCTATAAACATGGGTCCACATATATCTCTGTGGTACGATTCTTTTAATTCTTCGGGGAAAATACCAGCAGGGGAATAACTGGGTCAAATAGGACCTCAAGCCCTAGTTCTTTGAGGTATCCCCACACTGATTTCCATAGTGGTTGCACCAGTCTGCACTCCCACCAACAATGGAGAAGGGTTCCTTTCTCTCCACACCCCCACCAGCATTTGTTGCTGATTGATCTCTTGATAGCAGCCACCCTTTCTGGGGTGAGGTGGAATCTCAGTGTTGTTTTCATCTGCATCTCTTCAATGACGAGTGATGTTGAACATTTTTTCATATGTTTATTTGCTGCTTTTACTTC